CTGATAAGACTCCTCACAAAGTGGATTCTTTTGCTTGTTTTCTAAAAACAAATAAAATGGAAAGAACAGATTATGATGTGTTAAGAAGATGCAAGTAAAACATGTACAATTGGCAAGCAAAAGCATGGTACACAGATCCAAATCAGAAATAGGAAACTGCATGAACGAAACCAGCTAAAATTATTTAATCCTCCTTCCCACAATAATAGCACTGTGATAAAACATACTTCGTAAGATTACAAGCATCATGCTAAAAAGCATTTCTTTGTAAGAGACGGTACATGATCCCTAAACAACACGGCCAACAATCTATGGAATTTATGAGGCTATTCACCTCTATTTACTCTCAAAGGGATAAATCTTTGTCCTGCCACTCGATCAACCCATTCTAGTACAAGAATACACGCATCTGTGATAATGTCAGGAGTGTACTCTTCCTAAAACTACAAAATTTCCACTCCCAAACCCAATAAATTGTATTGGTACCCAAAACCCCAAATTACATCATTCTCTTCTAACAACTACAAGAACAGCATAGCCAGGTGGTGTTCACTTCTAAGACAACAAAAATCATGTGCATCTGACTTTTCCGCATCACAAAAATAAACAGGTAAAGGTAATAGAGAACCCTAAGCTATAAAGCCAAGAGTTGTGTTCAATGTGATACAAAAAGAAACGGGGATGCAGACACCTATAAAAGACATTTGGGTGACTATATCAAAAAACCCAATTTCCTGTAATTGTGCTCCATGAAAAATATAAATGTTCAAAAGGTGCCCATAGATTCAAATACAAACAATACAAGCCCAAGTTATCAAACAGATATCACTAGCAATCAACAAAGACAGGCAACATAAAGAACATCACTCACCCCTTTTCTGTCAGAAGGGCGTGGAGCTAATTCCTTCTTGGTCACAACATGGCCTTTGTTTAGGCCAACAGATATCCCTGTATTCGGCTGTTTTGGAGCCATCACCTATTTAAAACCACATTCAACATACAACCACAAATCACAAAATTGCATTGCCACAGCAGGACAATGAAAGCAACTGAGAATCACAATTTTCTACAGCTCAGAAAAAAAAAACAATTGAAATGCAAATTTTCATGATAAAAATTATCTAAGAAATGGAAAGTGCAATTTTTTCTCCCTTTACTGGTTTGTATAAGCATAAAACAACCGAGGATTTACGTAACTTCAAACCCAAAAAGGCAGAATATGTACGGAAGCGCTACGCAAATATGAGGTAAAACGGAAAAAGGAAGAGAGGTCGGCGAGTGACACTTACCTCTTCAATCTGTTGGATCTGCTCCGACGTAGTAGGGTTGTGAAAAGAGGAATTAGGGTTTTGGGAGAGTGATGCATTTTATACACAAAGTTTTGGGCTCGCACTAAGAAAGAAGCCCAATGAGGGTTCGTTTAATTTTTTATATTTGGCTCGAATTATGAATTGGAGTTTTGACCTCCAAAGTTTTTTTAAAACATACATTTGAATTTATTCAAAAGAAGAATTTTAAGCCCTTCTATAAATTGTGTCGCTCACTTGTTTTTGATATGGATGACACATCATTAGCCACAACATTTTTATATTCATTTATTAAAAAACTTTTCCATTCTCTATTTTTTTTTTTACAAAAAAGTTAAGTTTAATATGAATAAATTCGAAATGACTAGAAATTATATGACATAATATATAAACATGACCTTTAACTTAGTGCAAGTGGATAACTATGTCCTCCAACTTTGAGTGTGCACAAGTAGACATTTAAATTTGTATAAAATTGAACAAGTAGACACACATGTCTTATAGGTATAATACACGTAAGACGCTACGTATGACACAAAACTGTCATGTAGGGTGTCATGTAGGATAAATGTGTTTATTTATTCAATTTTATACCAGTTTAAGTGTTTACTTGTGCACACCCAAAGTCAAAGATTATAGTTGTCAGCTGACGTCAAGTTAAATGTCATGTTTATGTATTATGTCAAACTATATTTTGTGTTGTAAAACTAAATAATAAGATAAGAATAATAGAAATAAAGAGACAAGAGAGGAAACTTTTCTTATTCTTCCAATAAGTATCATCCTGTGTATAAATCCTTATGGTTCTTTTTATAGTGTTACATAGAGACATGCAAAATGTTAGTCATAAACATAACATTAATCATAAAAATAAGACATTATACATATATTGGACCCTCAACTTGGCTTCAAATTTTAACTTTGACCTCCAACTTTCATAGTGCACAAACAGGCATTTTAACTATCCAACCTTTTAATAAATAAACACGCGATTTTTGGAGGCAAAGAGCGTGAAATGCAAACGCTCCCACGTGTATTAGTGAGCCACTCAGTGGCTGCCAACTAATTAAATACTTTACACGTCCATTTTAGAACTAAAAAAAATTAAAATTACTTTTAATTAATATACAAGGGTTATAGCTCTTTTTCAACAAGGACAAAACAAATTAGAAGCCATTTGCACTAAATATGAGCACAAATTGTTTTAAAAGAGAGGAAAAAAATTTTGATTTGAAAGAGGAGGAAAGAGAAATGAGATTTTGATTTGGAAATATAAAGATATTATATAAAAGGGATTGATTAAGGGTAGATTTATCATTTCAACATTTTTTTACTATTGTGGACCTCAAAAATTACTCCTAACTCGCGCAAAATACGTACACATCACGCGTTTTGCCAGGTAGGACACGCATGTTTATTTATTAAAAGGTTGGATAGTTAAAGTGCATGTTTGTGCACTATGAAAGTTGGAGGTCAAAGTTGAAATTTGAAGCCAAGTTTAGGGTTCAATATATGTATTATGCCTAAAAAGAATGGTGGAGGTTATGGAGGTGTGAGGTCATAAAAGTAAAGGTTATCTTCACAGTGGAGGTTCTCCACACTCTAATATTTTATAACACTCCCTCTTGGATATTCATAGATAATGTGTCTTATTAAAATTTTATTACGAAAAAACTTGTGTGAAAAAATTCTAGTGAAGAAAAATAGATGACATATCTTTTAATACGCATTATTTGTTGCATCATTAAAAATCTTGTTGGAAAAACTTAGTGGAACAAAACATCGATAGAGGGAAAATCACTCTATTCATGACCTCATTATTGCATGTAAATTGTCAGTTTGACTTGTTCATAGTAACAATCATGTTGTGGATACTTTCATTTACAATTGGATTGTCTTGTAGAATAATTTGACATAACTTTAACGCAATATATATGACTTTATGTAGATCAAATAATCATCCTGCATTTTGCATAACCAAATATTTCTTTTGACAATATTGGTTAGAGACAATAAGTCTATAACAATTTGATTTCACTTAAATATTTTCACATAAAAGTTAAATTATATCTTCCTGCACATTAAAAATAATAATTCATGAGACAAAAATTTGATATTTCTTATGTGGAGATATTTCAGTTTGTATCTTTCTTCTGATCATGCATATCAAAACTCATGATATTCGATCTTTTTTATCATGTATAGAAAGAGCTTATATCTTGTTTGAAATTTATGTTAGAATTTTTTGATGTAATGTTGCGAGAACACTTTCTGGGAGCAAAAGTGACCATTATTTACAAAAAAAAATTGAGTTGTACATATTACTTTGATAAATAAAAATTGTTTACTTATAAAACAAATAGAGTAATGTAATTATTTTAGTTTTTTTTTTTGATAAAAACTAGCTTAAATTTGTATGGAGAAAATTCGAATTTAGTAAAAAGAATAAATCGAACCATGATACATGGTAAAATAAAAATACGAAGGAAGGTTTGTCACATTTTAAAAAGAATGAGAGACACTACCCTTGATATGTCATGAAAGGACTCGATGATTGTCTTCATTAAACTGTCACACAATCAGGCATCTTGAAAAGACTTCACCCTAGGAGACCGCCTTACAACTAGAACCATTCATAATGACCCTAGAAATTCAACAATTAAGCTCAAACCGCTCGTCTAATCTGCGATACGTCGAGTAATTTGTGATTGGTCTTTGAATCCTAGGTAGCAGCCCCTTCCTAGCTTGTCTCGCTCTTAAGTTGGTCTTTTTATATGACTAAGTTGTATTCCATTCGTGCAGTATGGACTAGCCCATGATGTGGTCAGCTCTGATATACTCAACTTACTCCAATCAGGTTCAGGTGAGACGTTAGAATATATGAACGCGATATGAAGTAACTTTTTAGCGCTAAACAAGTCGTTGTTTCTCATTGACGTGACAATTTAGCTTTTGTAACTTATAAAAGAAAGCTCTGAAAAAAGTAAAGGATATCAATGAAAATTCGAAGCAATGTGATATTTGTCTTTTGTTCTTCTTTCTTTAAAATTCCCATGAAAAAAATGTTTAACCCTCCCCCTCACTTATATTCTTCTTTCGTATAAGAAGATTGTATTCTTATATTGAATCATCACCCTAACATTATAGCCTAAAAAACGAATTTGATCAACCTTAACTCACTTAGCTTTTTTCTATTAACCAAAATAATTTTTCCCATAAACAAAATCAAACCTCAAATACTCATATTTGTTCATCAAACCCTTTATTAACCAAACAACAGTTTTTCCCATAAACAAAGTCAAACACTCATATTTGTTGATCAAACCCTTATTATTATTATTATTATTGTTGGTGTTGTTATTGTTGTTGTTGTTGTTGTTGTTATTATTATTATTATTATTATTATTATTATTTAAAAAACAAATAAACAAATCTAGGGACAAAACCTTAAAAATCAAGGTGCACATAAATAATATAAAGACCAAAAAGAAAAAGAAAAAAAAAAGAGATTCTATTTTCTCCTTCATTTTCCACGTATTTTATTCTCCTTGTTATACGCACTCTTTTTCTTCTTCTTCGTTTGTACCTCCCCATTCCTCTGAACATTTCTCCGACCAGTTCCTTCTTTTTCGATAAATAGAAAAATACTTCTCTTCATCTTCATGTAAACAACAAAGTCTTTTAATTTCTTCGACCGCCATTGATCTCTCGATCCTTCTCAGACACCACACTGGACTAGACTGGTATATGTCACCTTTCTCCTTCTTCTTTAATATGATATATGCTACTTTCCGATTACCGATCACCTCACTTCAAATCATTGTAGGCGAAAATTTTGGATGCAGTTTTACTTTGATCTGATATGTTGTCTGTTTGTAGTTGTTGATTGTTCATTATTCGCATTGGATATGCATGCATATATTAAATTCTTGCTTTTTGGGTTTCTTCTTCATTATAAATGTATCTACTACTCCTTGATCCCAAATGATTTGGGGGTATTTCACTGGACAAGGCATTTTAAATAATCAAAATTGTACAGCTTTTGAGTCACTGGGCAAGGCATTTTAAAAAGAATCGAAATTGTAGAGCATCTGAGTCACTTGGAAAGGCATTTTAAAAAAATCAAAATTGTAGAGCATTTGAGTCACTGAGCAAGGCATTTAGAAAAGAATTTGAGTACCAAAATAGTAAGTACTTGTTTTAGTATATATATAGCGGACCTGTCCTAAGTGTAAATTTGTGAATGTCAATCTTGTTTGGATGATGAAAAAGGGAGGAGTGCTAATAGATTGGATTTGAATTGGAATGCAGAATTTTGTTTGGGTGGGGTGGGGGTTGACTCATTGGTCGAAGCAATTTTTGGTTACTGTGTTCTTGATGATCTATCCATGCTACCATTTCTTTCTGTTTATGAGTATTTGTTAGGTTTGAAGTACATTGGAGTTCACAATAGCATGTTTGTTCTATATAAATGTGGAAAATATATTGGAGAATCAGTTCAACATGTTTCTTGTATATGCAGTTTGATTTATTGCTTGGTAGTTTTTACGGATTTAGTTAAGAATTTGGTAGCAACAAGCTTTGGTCTTAAAAGAAATTATTACTTGAAAACAAAAAAGGTGACCAGCTTATATACAGATAATAGTCATGGACCATGTGGCAATGAGTTAGTAACCTTTGAATTGAGAATGATATTTTTTGTTGGTGGATTCAAAGTAAACTTATCTTCTTGTTGTATAATAAGTGCAGATAAGCAACTATTTCGCGATGCCAACACTACAGAAAATTTTTGGTCTTGTGTGCTGCTTTGCCAACCAATACTTTGTTTTTTTGTTTTATAATAATGGAATGAAGATTTTTTCCTTTAGCATTCTAGTAGAGATCCAGTTGAATTTCGTCTTGGAGCATGTGTGCAAATTTCTACCAACTTATTAGTTATCATTGAGATATTCCAAGTGAGATTTGCATTGGCTTTATCTTCCGGAATATAGTAAACACGTGGATACCATTATTTACCTGTTGGATCTTTGAGGAAATCTGAACTTGAGGGAAAAATATAAAATAAACTGTTCTAGGAACTAGATAATTAGAGCTGGCATATCAGGTATTTAGTGGGGATGTGAACTACAATCGTGTTTGCTAAAGGATTCGTTATCTAGCTTTTGATTCGTTTTGGGAGCATATGGGAACTTGAATTGAAATGGGAAGGATAGGTCAAATTCTTTAATACACCTCTGAGTCGTCAATGGGATTTAGTTGAGATTAGACTCAAATGCTTCAATACCTCTTTGGCTTGTCAGATGGATTTAGTTTGGGATCATTAATGATGTTATTAGGAAAACCTCTTTTTCCAAGAAACACTACTTTTTGTAACAGCTGCTAATCATACAGAGTTTGCCTTTTTCTTTCCTCTTCTCATTCCATTCACCTTTGGTACTTACAGAAGTCTAAGTTCACAGAATAGCAAGTTGATTGGAGGATTGGTGTAAACTTTGTTGTCAAAGTAACAAGCAAATTAACATCCAGTTGTTCAAGGAATGCTTAGTAGTAGTCACTAATAGTCAATTTACTATTGCTTCAGACAAACTATATGTATACTACGTAGGATTGAGTCTCTGTGTAGCTTTTCTTGCTTGGTACATGACAAACTCTTTACGTTTGAGAGGTCTTTTCCTCGTGAATGGAGAAGAAAGACAAGTAACTGATACAATTTGACCAAATTACTTCTAGATTAAAATGCGAAATGAACAAGCCAGCTTTAAGTCTTTGAACACCAGTAAAGCAAGCCTACTGTTATACCCCATTTTAACTCAAGGTCAAAACGGTGTAGAACATATTGGTGATTTCCAAATTATTAACTAACTTAAGAAGTCGCCACCTAATTAATTATGGTGAATTAGGGCACCTAAAATGATTAAGTCATTATCTAAAGTTAACTTCATTTTAAGATCTACTAAACATGAAATTCTATGTAAGAGTTCTAGTTATCCTAAAGGGAAGGGATTAAGCATCCTTTAAGATCCGTTAAAGACGGTTACCGATCAAACTTAGGTTAATTAAATAATTTTCAGAGAAAAGTATATCATAAATTAGAACTAAGTGCATATCAACATTGAGATAGAATGACAATGCCTAAGATTAAAAGAAACAAACTTTAAGTAAAAATTCAAATGAGCGTACAGGAATATATAAAAAGATACATTTTTAGGGAAAGTACTTTTTTTTTTAATCTTAGTTTAACAAAAATTTCTAAAGAACAAAGTGATTAAAGTTTCAGAAGCTTTAACAACCATTATTTGCTAAAAAAAATATACCTATCATCATAAACTTGTTCGTAAAAAAAAAAAGTAACAGGGCTTAAAAAGAAAACATATTTTTTATTTTAAACAACCTATGTTTTGTACAAAAATCTGCACTTTGAACTTTTAATGAAAGTCGTATTTTACTCACCAAAAATCTGCATTTTTTGCTATTTAGAAAGGCTGTAAAAACCCTAAAAAAAAATCTTTTTTTTGCTACAAATATGCACTTTTATACTCAAAGATGTACACTTTTTCAGCTATCAAGAAACAACATTTTTGACACCAAAATTTGTACATTAGAAGCTCAAAGACTTCTCTTTTATAGTCTATAAAACACCCTTTCTTTTGGCACCAAAATCTGTCATTAGAAGTTGCCATGATAGCAAAATTATAACTTAAAGATATTTGTTAATGTAAATAATTTGCAAATTTTTTTTTTTTCTCTTCCTTCCATTTTTGTGGAAAGTTGAGACCTGAAATATTCTCAATTATGATTGACAAGAAAAAAAAAACTGATATTTTACGCTACTCTAAACAATATCGAAATTTATTCTTAAAGGATCTGGGAGGCTAAATGGTCTGTCTCAATATAGCTTACACCTAAACTATCTTATATAAAAAAGAGGAAATACTAACAAAGAAAACTAAAACACATTAAAAAGGATGTTGGTCATAGCAAAAAAAAAAAAACATATACAAAAATGCAAAGATTAGAGAGGGGAGAGTGGCGTTGGATTCATTTCTAAGAACCCAACATAGCTGCAAGACTCCAACTAATCCGACTCAACTAGGAGGTGTGAATGCGACGTTTAATGCATAATTCAATCCATTTGGACTGAGATGGAGTTTCATCACAACTCCAACGGTGCTCCATTTTGTACATGTAAAAAAAAAAAGATAATAAATTAGAGGATGAGACATCAAGTAAAACTTGGAACAATATAAATCTCAAAGTTTGTTTTCAATCTTAATTGCAGGCATCTACATACTTGTAAAAGATAACTTCGCAACAATACCCCTACTCTTAACAAGACTTTAATACCATTAAATTCATTAAGCTAAACTCGAACCAAGGATTACATACATTAGGGCTCTTTCAAACATCAACTAAACCAAGCTAAAGAAAATAAATCACTAATGAAATATGACTTCATATAAACAAAAAATGACCAGCAAACTAGACAGTTTATTCAACTTTGCATGGAAATTCTCTTAAGAGGTATAGCTCATTATAATTTAAACAAAGAAAAGGGTGACTAATTAGAATAAACCATGCTTTTTCAAATACTAAGAAATAGTAGTTGTGCTAGATCAGATTTTGAATTTAAGGAAAAAGACTTCCTGGAATCATAGTTCTTAAAGATGTAGTGAGAAGAAGATTAAGTTTAGTAAGTGTCGAGAAGCGAAAAACAAATTATTTTTTTCTTTTCTTTTTTTGTAAAACAAAGGAGAACATGTTCTATTAACAACACCCAGGTATACTGCTAAACATTTACTCATTTATGTCACTCATTTATCAAACTTCAAATAAAGCATACTTCCCAAAGAGTTTAATACCAAAAAAAATGAGTCCTTGGAAACATAAGTTCTGAAATAAAACAGAGCCCAAACAATGGACAAAATACTTCAACATTTTGATTTTAACAAAGCAATTATCACACCACGACTATTACAATCAGTGATCAACTGAGGTCATGACGTATATTTACTTATCATAATGCCAAAACACAACAGTACTGACATAAAACTAACAGTAAACTCACAACGCATTGAAATACAAGTTCATCCATATCTCGTGGAATGGAAAATGAAGAGAATAAATGTTACTGACCTATTTTGGGGCAGTGAACTGGGGCGTTTTTGAGCCACCGATCTACACCCTTTAGCGAATAAAAGCGAGACTAATTCGGGAAAGTTAAATGCAAAGTCTTGAAAGCTAACAGAGAAGGACGAATCAAGAAGAATCTTAAAAATATTATGAAACTTGTGGATGAAGAGGGCCACCTCCAAAACTTGTTGAGGCTTTTCCCAAGCCTTAATATTTATAGCAGCAGAAGATTAGTGCTCTTAGTTTAGGCGGGATTTTGAATTTCAAATCCGAAATTGGTCAAAAGAAAATCTCTTCCAAATCTCAACGTTTGGAGCTTTTTTTCAAGGTTTGTCAGCTTCACATGATTGATAGTGATTGATATGCATGTATCACGGAAATGGAGTAGTTGAGCTCTGTCCATGGTTGACAAGTTTGTTGTTTTTTTTTTTTTTCGGAAAATGGAAGGGGCGGAAGAGAGACAAAGAGCAGCTGCTGAGTTGCAAATTTTGAAATTAGGTTTCCTAGGAGATAAAGGGCATTTTAGGACATTTAGAAATTATGTGGGTTGAAAGATGGTTTGGAAAATGGCTGGAGGCTTTTTGGGCTTTAATCAAATTTTCTTAGGCTTTTTCCTTTCTTCTTTAAATTATTTTGGGTTTCTAACTCAATAACTAATACAATATATATTATGGGATGACAACTAATAACTTATGAAATAAAAATATCAATATTACAATTTTATGCTAATATAAAAATATGGATACAAGAATATGAATTTATAATTAATTTTATAAAATACGAAACTTGAAACAAAATGACGACAATAGATTATTTAAGGAAAATAGGTGTAAAAAGTGATAATAATCATTTCGATGATAAAACGTATAATTCTAGTAGATGAATAGTCATAATAGTAAAAATAGTTGTGAAAAAGGATTATCTTATACATTATTAAATTAAAAGCTTGAAAATAATATATCGAAAGAAAGAAAAGTCAAAATTGGGTGTCAACAGCTTGTCCCTCTTTGACCAGAGACGATGTAAGAGTTTTTGGGCAAAGAAGTTGACTTAATAGCCAATTTTGTCTCGACCAACAAATAAGACCTTGGGAGAGTATGAGACAATATGAACATTGGATAACTGATGAGATATAGGATTTGAAAACAAGGTAGTCGCAAGCTTGAAAAAGTTTCCCTAGTATTGAATTATGATGTTACTGGTAATGTGATCTAGGAGAATATTCAAGATTGGAGTCGAGTAGAGTTCGAGGTAGACCTTTGACCTTTGTTGGAAAGCTAAACTTTCTCAACAAATTGCCCCAGTTCACTGCTTAGATGAAGTTCCACGTTGTGCTAAAGCTCCTGCAGAACTCAAACTTGACAAAACAGTTAATAATATTAAACATAAAGCATGGTGCGATAAACATATAGAAAATAACACCTCCTGGGTGTGAATTTATGAAAATGCGGCCTTGCAAGCCGAAATGACTTAATGAGATGAAATCTTGCAAAATTTATGAAAAAGGGTTTAAGGCCGATGATTTCATGAGAAGTGATGCTTTTCAGCGATGATTAATGAAAATGAGGCCTTAACCAAATAAATTATGTATATGAGGCTTTAGCCAAATGATTTAAAAATGAGACTTTTTAAGTCAGGTGATTTGTGAAAAGGAGGTCTTTGAAAGCAATGCAGACTGATAAAATATTTGTGTAGTAATATTTGAAAACATATGTGCAATCAACTGAAAACATTTGTGCAATGCATTAGAAAAGCGATAAAGCAATGTGGGATTGAAAGTATTTGTGTATTTGAAAATATGCCTTCGTGCGAAATATAAAGCATTTGAAAATATTTAGAAGTATTTATGCGGTGCGTTTGAAAACAATTGAAGGCATTTGTGCAGTGCATTTGGAAATATGCATTTGTGCGAAGCATTTGTGCGGTGCATTTGAAAATATCTGAAAGCATTTGTGCAGTTAGTATAAAGTATTTGAAAGCATGCATGCGAAAAATCTGAAAGCATTTGTGCGGTGCCTTAGAAATATATCTCGAAGCAAAGGTGCAGTGCGCTTGAAAATATCTGAAAGCATTTGTACAGTGCATTTAAAGGCATTTATGTATAGCAAAATCATGCGCAATGTTTTATTAAATAGTATTTGCTATCAACACATTTGAAAATTTATAGAGCCTTACTTTTAAATTTTCGAACCATAAATTTATAAGTAAGTAATTCAAACCACTCGACATATAGTCCTTCCGATGCTATAGATGTTATTGACTTCTCAACTTCTATTAATCCTGACAAACCTGCACTCAGAGAAAAATTATAAGTTTTGGGGGGAGGTTGATTCGCGTTGACTTTGAAGGTCTGGCTCTTCATACTTCTTTCTTCCAGCTTTGGTTGGACTCATAACCTCCGTCAATTCTAAATCTTGGTTAAATGAATAACAAGAAAATAAATAAAACGAAAACATTTGACTGAAAATCATATTTGAAAATAAGATAAAATTATATACGTATATATATCAATAAAGAATTTTGTCGAACTTCAAATTGTGACATATCATGAAACAAAGCGAACGTCCTTTATCTGAAGTCCTTCTTCTGTTGGATGATTCGATTGACCATATACTCTTCAAATATCATGATATCTTTTGCAATGACACCCTTAAAAAAATTGTCCCAGTTTTGCGAAAGAGATGCGTTGTCCTTTGGTCACGATGATTCCAAACCTTCTATAGGCTGCACACTATTTTATCATGGCACCGAGCCAAACATAACCTAAGGATACAATTAAGATTGAAATAAAGGGGCCGAACCCTCCTCGGGTTGCCTACGTATCCGAACGGAATCAGGCCATACGTAGTTCGCTACATACAAAGAAATGGAGAAATGAAAAAAAATCTAATAAAGTGATCGAAGCCGATATAGGCCGCCTACGTATCCCACCAAGGGTATCAGGCCAAGCGTAGTTCATATTACATAGAAAGGAAATTTTGCAAAACTTACTAAAAGACCAAATCCGACGTGGATTTCCTACGTATCCCGCCGTGGGAATCAGGTCAAGACGTAGTTTCAATACATGACAAAAGATTACAAGAAAATGAAATAGAAACCTCTAGATGTAGTATCTCTTAACCGCATCTGCATTGATAGCTTTTGGCCATATCTTGCCATCCATTTTTGCTAGAATCAAAGCTCCTCCAGTCAGTACTCGGTGAACCATGTAAGGTCCTTGCCAATTAGGTGCAAACTTGCCCTTAGCTTCATCTTGGTGTGGGAATATTCGCTTCAACACCAATTGTCCCGGTTCAAACTGCCTCAATCTTACTTTCTTGTTGAAAGCTTTGGTCATCCTGTGTTGATAAAGTTGCCCATGACAAACTGCATTAATTCTTTTTTCATCAATGAGCATCAATTGTTCATACCGGCTTTGCGTCCACTTGGCATCACTTAACTCAGCTTCTTGGATGACCCTCAGAGATGGTATTTCAACTTCCATTGGTAATACTGCTTCTGTTCCATAAACCAAAAGATAAGGTGTTGCCCCAGTCGAAGTCCTGATTGTGGTGCGGTAGCCAAGAAGGGCAAATGACAAACTCTCATGCCAATGCTTGTAGTTATCAATCATTTTCCGTAATATCCTTTTGATATTTTTGTTGGCAGCCTCAACTGCTCCATTCATCTGAGGTCGATAAGGAGTGGAATTACGGTGAATAATTTTGAACTTCTCGCATATCTCATGCATCAAACCACTATTGAGATTAGCTCCATTATCTGTAATAATTGACTCGGGGATCCCAAATCTACAAATGATGTTATTACGAACAAAATCTGTCACCACCTTCTTTGTCACAGACTTGTATGAAGATGCTTCTACCCACTTTGTGAAGTAATCAATAGCTACCAGAATGAATCTGTGTCCATTTGAGGCGGCTGGCTCAATAGGGCCAATGACATCCATGCCCCAAGCTGCAAATGGCCAAGGAGAACTCGTCACATTTAGCTCATTCGGTGGAACCCGAATCAAATCACCATGAATCTGACATTGATAACACCTTCTCACAAAACGGATACAGTCTGTTTCCATGGTCATCCAAAAATATCCAGCTCGCAGAATCTTCTTTGCCAAAGTGAAACCATTCATGTGTGGCCCACACGTACCCCCATGTATTTCTTCAATCAACTTGCTTGCCTCTTGAGAGTCAACACATCTTAACAATCCCAAATCTGGAGTCCTCCTATAAAGGATTTCTCCACTTAGGAAAAAGTGATTTGCGAGTCTCCGAAGTGTCCTCTTTTGAACATTGTTTACTCCTTCTGGATAGTCTCCTTCTCTAAGATACCTCTTAATGTCATAGTACCAAGGTTCTCCATCCGGTTCTTCATCTATATGGAAACAATAGGCTGGTTGATCCTGCACATTGACCTTGATTGGATCTATATAGTTCTTGTCTGGATATTGAATCATAGAAGCCAGGGTTGCCAACGCGTCTGCAAACTCGTTCTGAGCTCGTGAAATATGCTTGAATTCTATCTTGACGAATTTCTTGCATAATTCTTTCACACACAACAAATATGGGAGTATTTTCACATTCTTAGTGCTCCATTCGCCTTGAACCTGATGAATCAATAAGTCGGAATCACCTATAACCAACAATTTTTGTATATTCATGTCAACAGCCATTCTAAGCCCAAGAATACAAGCCTCGTACTCCGCCATATTATTTGTGCATAAGAATCTGAACTTTGTTGAGATAGGATAATGTTGACCTGATTCTGAAATCAACACTGCTCCAGCACCGACTCCTTTGGAATTCGCAGCACCATAAAAAAACATTCTCCAACCGGGATATTCTTCGGAAATATCCTCTCCAATAAATAAAACCTCTTCATCAGGGAAATAAGTTTTAAGAGGCATGTACTCTTCATCCACGGGATTTTCAGCGAGATGATCAGCTAGCGCTTGTCCCTTGATGGCCTTTTGAGTGACATAAACAATGTCGAATTCACATAGCAAAATTTGCCACTTCGCCAACCTTCCAGTGGGCATAGGCTTCTGAAATATATATTTGAGTGGATCCATCCTTGAGATGAGAAAAGTGGTATACGCACATAAATAATGTCTCAGCTTTTGTGCAACCCAAGTCAAAGCACAACAAGTGCGCTCCAATAAAGTATACCGAGCTTCATAATGAGTGAACTTTTTGCTCAAGTAATATATAGCTTGCTCTTTCTTTCCAGTTTCGTCATGTTGTCCCAGCACACATCCAAATGCATTGTCAGACACTGACAAATACAACAACAACGGTCTTCCAGATTCTGGGGGCACCAAGACTGGTGGACTTGATAGATACTCCTTGATTCTGTCAAAAGCTTTCTGACAATCTTCCGTCCATTTTGTTGCAGCATCTTTCCTCAGCAACTTGAAGATTGGCTCGCAAATTACAGTAGATTGTGCAATGAATCGACTAATGTAATTGAGGCGACCAAGAAAACTCATTACATCCTTTCGACTCTTTGGAGGAGGCAAGTCTTGAATAGCCTTTATCTTTGAAGGATCCAGCTCTATCCCTTTCCTACTCACGATGAAACCTAACAGCTTCTCGGCAGGGACACCAAATGCACACTTTGCGGGATTTAACTTCAGATTGTACCGCCTTAATCTGTCAAAGAACTTCTTCAAATCTGTTTTATGATCTGAGCTCTTCCGTGACTTGATGATGACATCATCCACATAAACTTCAATCTCCTTATGGATCATATCATGAAATATGGTAGTCATAGCTCTCATATATGTTGCCCCTGCATTCTTGAGTCCAAAAGGCATTACCCGATAACAATATACTCCCCAAGGCGTGATGAATGCAGTTTTCTCCGCATCCTCTTCATCCATTAGAATCTGATGATATCCTGCAAAGCAATCAACAAATGACTGCAACTCATGCTTTGCACAATTATCAATAAGTATGTGAATGTTTGGGAGAGGAAAATCATCCTTCGGGCTAGCCTTGTTGAGATCTCGATAATCTACACATACTCTGATTTTTCCATCTTTCTTTGGCACTGGTACTATGTTAGCCAACCACGTGGGATACTTGGTGACCCGGATGACATTGACATCAAATTGCTTGGAGACTTCTTCCTTAACCTTTAAACTCAAATCAGGTTTGATCTTTCTCGGCTTTTGCTTTACTGGGGGGCAAGAGGGATCAATTGGCAACCTGTGTGAAACAATATCCGTGCTTAGACCTGGCATATCATCATAAGACCATGCGAACACATCCATGTATTGTCTCAAAAGATCAATAAGTTCTTTTCTTTGGGACGGAGTCAAATGTACACTAATTCTTGTATCTCTCACCAATTCTGCTGAATCTCCCAAATTTATCGTCTCAGTTTCATCCAAATTTGGCTTTTCTTTATTCTCAAAATGTTCAAACTCCTTGGTCAACTCTCCAGGCGGCACATCTTCTTCATATTCTGCAAAAGTTTGTTCACTGTTCGGGTTTTGTACGCTTGTTTCATTACATGTCACATTCTTGGCATTGACAGATTTATTAGTTTGCTTGCTGAAAGAGAGAGAAGAAATAGAATAAAATAAATAATCAAAGACAAATCTTAAAATTCAAAGAAGAAAAAAAGGTAACATAGATTTGGCATTTAAGCTTTCAAAAGATGGAGGCAAAACACATCAAATTCAAAAACACAATTGAGGCCTCAATTTGAATCATGTTGTTTTGTTAATTCTAATACAATGATCTACCAAGATTCCCGGAGAACCGGGGACGGGTTACAAGTCCAATTGTTCAAAGCATCTCCAGGCATAGCATCCCATATGGTCGGGGCCTTGGTGCAATCCTCCAAAATCATATTGCATTCAGCTTCTTCAATGAACAAGTTTTTGAGTCCTTCTGTGAGGTTATCTTCAATAGCTTCCTCTAATCCTTGTGCAACAAACGCCTTGGAAAATGACTGATTCAAGGGCGGGATAGGTTGTGGTAAGGGAACGTCACTTTTCCTTTTGAGATTAGCCGATGAGATTTCTTCAGGAGTAGGCTCGTATCCAATACCAAAGGTGTATTTCTGACCAGGCAATTGAATTGGTTCCACTATTCCATCCAATTTCGCTCCAAGACCTTGACTCGGGATAAAACCATTCTTCAACATTTCCCAAGCCACCATCATAAGCACACGTGGCAAATTTGCCTTTCCAACTTGAGTAGCACACATAATTTCTCTAATATGGAATACAAACCCATCCAACTCTTCCATACTTTTAATAACAGGGACTGAATTTTCAGGATATATTGAGTTGTTACCTTCCCCATGAACAACAATTTCCTGATGGTTCCAAACAAATTTCAAGGTCTGGTGCAAAGTGGAAGGAACCACACCAGCCATATGAATCCATGGCCTTCCAAGTAATAAATTATAACTAGCAGATATATCCAATACTTGGAATTCCACAATGAACTCCACAGGTCCAATTTGCAATGGCAAATCGATTTCTCCAATGACTCCCCTTTGTGTCCCGTCAAAGCCTCTAACCCTTACATGACTTTCACGAATCTTTCCAATGTCGATTCCCAAAGCTCGAAGAGTAGTGAAAGGGCATATGTTAACAGCTGAACCATTATCAATCAGAACTCTTGAAATAAACTTATCCCTACATCTGACAGTAATGTTCAACGCTTTGTTATGTCCCAAACCTTCAGGCAACAAACTCATCTTCATGAAAAGTGACTTTGTTAGCTTCTAAAACTTGTCCTACTATGGCAGAAAAGTTCTCACTGGTGGTCTCAGCTGGAACATATGCTTCACTTAAAACCTTCACCAAAGCGTTCCTATGAGTTGCAAAATTCATCAGTAAGGCCATTAAGGAAATTTGAGCAGGAGTTTTCTTCAGCTGTTCAACAACTGAATATTCCTTAGTTGGCATCTTCCTCCAGAAATCTTCCACTTCAGACCTGTCACAAACCTTTTTTTGGTTGTTTTCCTTGTTTGGTCCTCCTCGTACAACTTCTTCAGGGGTATAACAACGCCCGGATCTTGTCATTCCTGCAGCAGCGGCTTCTACAACTATCTTTCCTTTTCCTTTGTCCCTTGCATCAGTCGAGTAATCCCAAGGAACTGCTTTAGTGTCAAAAGGGGATGATTGAGCGACAAAGGCCATAATCCTAGGCTTGGGAAGAAAAACTTCCACTTCAATTGGCGCTCGTGCTTGGACTGTGATTACAGGAGAAATAAAAGCCGATGTCTCGACATTCTTCTCTATCTTGACTGGTACTATGGTCCTTTCCAAGTTGCAATCTTCATCAACGGTGATCATGTTAACATTGCCATGATTTGGCAGTGGGTTGTTGTTTACATTGGGGGCAACACCTTTGAGTTGAATGATTCCTTCTTTGATCAATGCCTCAATCTTGTCTTTGAGAGTGAGGCAACTTTCAGTGTCATGTCCAGCAGCTCCAGAGTGATATGCACAATGCTTGGTCTCGTCATACCATCCAGGAAGGGGATTGGGAATTCGTCCTTAGATTGGCTGGAGTACTCCTGCAGTTCTCAACCGTTCATATAGTTGGGCTAAAGGTTCAGCTAAAGGTGTATAGGTTTTGGTTGGTCTTCTTTCAAAGTTTGGGCGGGGTCTGGGTGCATTTGATGGACGACTTTGTTGTTGGTAGTGGGATTGGGCTGGATATGCGGGTTGGTATCGTGATGGATTGGATAGGCAGGTGCTCTAGGTGGACAATACGTTGGTTGGGTGGTGTAAACTGGGTAAGGGGCAGGTGAAGGTTGATAATATGGTTGAGGAATTTGGGTATACTGACTATAGAATGAAGGTTGGGATAATGGGTTTTGGTAGGTTAACATTTGGTTTGGCCTACGTTCCTGGATGGTCATGACAGCAGACACACCGTCCTTCCTCTTCTTAAGGGCTCCTCCGATTGAATCCGACTGAATTGCCTTACTTGTCGCCTGCAGGGCTGCCAAATTAGTGATTCTCCCAGTTTTAATACCTTCTTCAATAAATTCTCCCATCCTGACAACCTCAAAGAACTTTTGCCCTACAACACTTATCATCTTTTCATAGTACGTTGCATCTTTTTGGGATTGTATAAAAAGAGAGGTCATCTCACTTTCTGCCATTGGGGTTGAACTTTTGCGGCATCTGCTCTCCACCGCATCGCATACTCTCTGAATGACTCTGGTTGACTTCTTTTCCAACTTCATCAAGTAGAGCCTGTTCCGGAATGCCTCAGTGTTAAACTTGAACCTATCCATGAATTCTTGTGCCATCGCACCCCAACTATTCCATTTCTGTGGGTTCGACTCGTGTACCAATCAAGGGCCTCTCCTTAAATCCTTATAAACAACTTCATTCTAATGGCCTCATCTTTCCCCAGTCCAACTAACTTGTCACAATACGACCTAAATGAGCTCGGAGGATTTCCCTTCCCATCAAATACATCAAATTTTGGTACCTTATACCCCACGGGTAATTCAACATCGGGATGAACACATAAATCCTCATATTCAAGACCTTCAACCCCCTTATGGACTTGGATACTTTTGAAAGCTTCCTTCAAATTACGAATCTCCCTTGCTACATTGTCATATGTTCTTGACCTTGCTTCTTTCTCCATCTCTTCATATGGATCGACTTCTGGCATGGTTGGCATTGGATTAAGGAAATGTTGAGTTTTCGCTACATATACTTGAGACACATATTGAACGTTAGGGATTGCAGTGTGTGCCACCGGTACATGTTGGGTTGCTTGGTATTTTTGGGTAGGTAAGGCGGTTTGGGTGAGCGGTGTAGTTTGGGCGCATATGAGGTAGTGAAGGGTAAAGGGTTGGCTTGTTGCGGATTGTTTTGTGGAAAGTTGGGTTGTTGAGGGTTGGTGGATTGTTTGGAAGCAATTGGATTGGTCTTTTGAAGGGAAAGGTTTGGTGGAAAGTATTGAGGAGTAGGAGAGTCAAGATGTGGAAAAAGAGGCGGAGTAGCTATGTTTGTTCCATGCTCCGGGAAGTGGCGTATTCAAAGTGATGGACAAATTGGTGAGTTTTCAAAGTCGATCAATCTCACTTTGCATATTGGCCATTTTTGCATCAAATTAGCAATGTGTTCATCATAAGGGATTGATTCCCTTCCTTCCGAAGTCTCGGGTTTATCTCTCAGGACAGTGACAAGCCCCAAACCATTTTGATCAGACGCACCTGAATCAGTCATGTCTGCACATGCTTTTGATCTCGTAAAGTATGGATGATCCGCCAGTTCGTAGTCAATGCAAATCAACCTTTGGGGAGAATAAATCAAAAGAAAGAAAACCTTCAAAAAGAGAGAAATATTAGTATCAAGTGGATGATTGTTGTTTCAATAATTAGGCAGATAATTAAATAATAACAATAAATAAATAGAGAATAAACATGTATTACGCAGCAAGTAAATCACATAACAAATAATAAACAAAATATTCAAAAGAAAATGCATCCTAATATGCACGGGACCTCTTTTGCCAGAGGTGGGGCCTAAATGTCAAACATAACGTGATTATGATAGATTGATCCAAGCCATTAATTTGTGCCAACTCGAGTTTTGGGGAAACAAAAAGACCAAGTTTTCCATTATTACAAAAAAGAAGAAGGAGAGTACAATGAAGAAACTAAAAAAAATACATAAAAGATGACATAATATAAAGACAAATCTAAGACTTGGCCTAAATTTGCTATCAATCAGGTGGAGGAAATGAAGATGATGCTCCCACGTTGCTAGATCCTGCTCCCGCATTGGTCCAAATATCGCATTATATTTTCCATTTGAGCCCACATTTCAGGAGTAAATATTTTGGTTCCAAGACGAGAATGTCTTATCCAGATCGTCATTCTAATAGCCTCAAAACCTTGCTCACCTTCTGGACTTATGCTATCGCGATCCTCTTGAAACCATACCTGATATTCTGGAATTTCCTTTTCAGGCCCATTTCCAATAAATAACGTGAGGATATTGGCCCACTTATGAAGAATCTCTCTGGCTCTAGGGACTTCAAAGTTTCGTCCAAAGAAAATTTTAGAATTTCTCATATTTGCTCGTAGAGGAATTATTTGTGCTTGACCAAACTGTTGAAGCACGCGCACCGGAGCATATAGTTGGAGACCTTTCAATCCAATTAGCTCGATATAATAAAACCTTCTACATCTTATATAGGCAGGGGAATGTGGGAGTAATGGATATTTCTACTGAATTTGGTCACTAGTGCGATGGGCCAGGAACTCATACCAATCATCAGTACCAACAGGATACACAAACTCTTTCATCCTGTCGTAAAAACTGTTAATATGATTTGTGTTACTAAAACATATGTCATCCATATTTTTACGTTGGTTAAAATGTTCCATTGCCCACTTTGTAAATGAAGATTGCAACCTTCAAAGAAGTTTGATTCCCCTCTTTTACATTTCCCAAGAGCTCGAAATATTCTGCTAAAATCATGGGAACCACAGTGAGTTCTTCGCCATCTACTCCCTCAAAAAGTACTCGAGCCACAGAACATATGCAAGTGCTAATGTATCCGTGTTCTCGTGGGAATACCAAAGTCCCTAGTAAAGCCACAACAAATGCAATAGGACGTCTAACTTGCCAATGAACTTGAGTACAAGAGAATTCTTTCCTAAACAGCTTGTAACTATTCGAGCGTCCATACCTCTCATATAGGTAGTCCAAAGAAACCCAATTATTTTCGAAGCACCGAAGTTTCTTTTCACTTTTCAACCCTAAGTAGCGAAGGAATTTCTTCCCTAATTGACTGTGTGGAATAATTTGACCCCATTCTTTGATACTTTCAAACTGGTGAAATAGAGGATTTCCTCCAATGTAGGTGTTAGTTCAAAGTCTTTGAAGGCGAACACAACACGGTTTGGATCCCAAAACTGAATTAGTGCTCTAATCCACATGTTTGTTGGGGGTGATTTTGAATAGCAGAGGGAGGCACCCCCAACCTTCTTGTAATCGCTAGTTTCTCAGTTTGAGTGAAATTTTCTCACCATGTCCTCAATTTGTGTGGGAAACCGTCGACCATCCTAACTTTGGGCACTTTGGGGACTGGACTCATCCTACTTAAAGATCGAAATAAAATGAACACTTAATTTCCAAACTCACTATGTCAAAATAGGCTTGGATCTGTCAATTATTATCACGTTGCACAAAATATGTTTGTTGGTCGTTGGGTCGTGAAACCCGTCGACAAAAGGGTGGATTTCTTAAATGTGGATTCGATACCCCGGGATCGATCCACCTAAGGTGAATGCATGCATGACTTAAATTAAGGGGTGGTTTAGCTCTATCTTATGTTTTCTAAGATTTGGCTTACTAGACACAAGGTTCCCGAGTGGACAACTCGAGTGAGAAGGCTACGCAGTCACACGAAAAAGATTCGGACACCCCGCGCATATGCCAACTCTCCTAACTTTTGGATTTTGAAAGAAATTTGCGGTGTTCAAAACACACCTCGCGTGTACGTGTGAGATTTCCAGAATTGGAGGAATTATGAACGAAATAATATTTTATATAAAGCAATAACAAATAAATAATTTATATAAATCAGTAACAAATAACCATTTTATACCACATAAGCATAATAAGTAAAGCATTTGGCATTTAAAATAAAACAAACAACAAAAACGAAACAAGCAAATGTTAAAAACATAATTATTAACCTCAGTCTATTATGGTTTAGAACCTAAAGTCCCCAGTGGAGTCGTCAAGCTGTTATACCCCATTTTAACTCGAGGTCCAAATGATGTACAACATTTTGATGATTTCTAAATTATTAACTAAGTCAAGAAGTCGCCACCTAATTAATTATGGTGAATTAGGACACCTAAATATTTAACTAAGTAATGCTAAAATTTGACTTCAATTAAGGTTTACTAAACCTATATGATTCTAGGTAAGAGTTCTAATTATCCTAAAGCAAAGAGATAAGGCATCCTCTAAGATCAGTTAAAAACTGTTAACCGGCAAAACTTAGGTTAATTAACTTTAAGAAAATGAATACTAAAAGAATCAGAAAAGTCAACTAAGTATGTTGGAAAACATTTCAACATTTGAAAAATTTCTTCTATATTTATATTTAAAATGATGGAGATTTAAGAAAGGATAATTTGTCTAAACCAATTTGTTGTT